ATTAAAGGGGTTGTTTTGATGCCGGGAAAAAGAATACGGAGTAAAAGAAATCTTTTCAAGTTATTTGGATGATTGCACAATAAATGCATGAGACTTTTTTTTATGGTTTGAAGTAAAAGTAATGCAATGCAAATTAGAAAAAGATAGTGATTGATGGTAGTTGGTGGCGATGGGTGGCTGGAGGCAATGGTGGCGATGGGCGTCAGTGGTCATTGCCAAAGATGGTGGGTGGTTGTCGGTGGTGAAGCATACACCATGGTAAATCCTCTTGCAATTGTCTATCCTCTTGCAATTGTCTAGTAAGAACATCCACGATTAAAGTAAAAAAGATATGAGCTTAAAGCTAATCCTTGATGTAATCCAACTAAAATAGAAAAATACTTGGTCAAACATCCTTATATTTGAACAAAAGTAATAGCTCCTGCATATATATCCTAAATGACTTGAGTATGAGAATTATTAAATTCTGTATTTTTCTAAAACTCTCCATTGTGCTTTTGTTGGAATTTTATCATAAGCTTTCTCTAAATCAATCTCCTTATTCTCCCTATATTTATCCATCAAACCTCTCAAAGTTATTGCTTCTAGAGTAGACCTACTCGACATGAATCCAAATTAATTTTGAGAAACATTAGTATCACGTCGTAACATATGCTCAATAACTCTCTCCCAAAGTTTTAAAGTATGAAATATTATCTAAAGTCCTCTATAATTCATACACTTTTGTGCATCACCTTTATTCTTAAAAATATGAATCAACACACTCCACTCATTTGGTACATTGTTAGTCTTCAAAATAATATTAAATTTTTTTGCTAGTCAAGAAATTCCTTCATCTTCTAATCATTTCAGTACTTCTATTGAAATATAATTAGGTCCAACAGCATTTTCACATTCATTTTTTTTTTAACTTTTCTAATTTTGATTTTATTAATACACCAATAAAAATATAAAAATTATTTTTATTTAAGATGCTTAAATCACTAAAATCAATTGTATTTTAACAATCTTTATTGAAAAGCTTATCAAACATCACAGCTTCAGTCTTTGTTTGAATATCTCTCTCATATAGAAAACACTTTTTGATCTTCATCTTAAAAAAAATTAGTTGCGTCCATTTGCTTGCTTATTTAATAATTCTAAGAAAAAGAATATATAAATAAATTTAATTTTGATATTTGTTTATGCATTGTTATATCATTTCGGAATTTAGTAATGAATCTTTGTTAAAATTTGATTTTTTAATTTTTATATTCAAAAAAATATATGCATGAAAAAATAATCAAAATTTTTGCATCTATATGTTAAGATATAAAAATATTTTATTATTTTGAATAAGCATATATTTTATGAATTCCATTTTTATACCTATGCTATTTTAAGAGTTGAAAACATAAGAAATATTTGCTATCTATTTATATGCGCATAAGTTTTAGATATATAAAAAAGGAGCACTAAATATAAAAAAAATATAAAAAAATTAAAGCTACTCTAGTTTAAGGAAAGCGGACTATCATATAAATTTGGAAATACCCATTAACTATAACTAATAAATATAATTTTAAAATCTGACATGATTTAAAATAAATGTTAACTTGAAAAATTTTAAATTATAATTGTTATTATACCAGTCCCCAATTAATTTAGGAGATTATACATTTAAGCTAATAATAAAATTACATAAAAGATTATGTTTAGAACATATAATATTTAGAATTTTTAAAAAAAATTTCTAAAATTGCAGATACAATTTTTATCATCTAAAATAAATAACAAATATTAAAATATAAAAGTTTATTGTACTTTTTTTTAGGAACTATCCTAAAACCGGGGTGACAATGGCAGTTTTGGCTGGTCTTACGCGTTCTAATTGGTTTCCGAACCATCCCGTGTCCGCACAGAATTATCTCTCCTATTAGAGAGTAGATCCAGAATAGTAAAGTCTAAAAAAATACTATTCCTAAGATTCTATTATGATCTTGAGATGCGTCACATTAGATGTTGGAAGACATGAAGGTGATATTAAGGCTTCATTTGAGATGGCTTTCTTATTGTTTCTTAAAGCAGTTTTTTTGTACAAAATTTTTCAATTTTGCAAATTTTTAAATGTAAAAAAAATTTGTACAAAAAAGTAATAAAGAAGTAAAAAAACAAAAGGTGTCCAAAATTAAGCCTAAAATTATTTATATTTATATGGGAATTAGGCAGAAAATTTTAGTGAAAATGTGTCACTCCCCAAAATTCCCATTTATGATATGATGGATTGTGTAAGTTCCCTCATCATTCCCTAACCAATGAAAAAGCAAAACCAAATGCATTTTTTATATGGAAAAAACAATTCCAATAAGCAACCAAAATAGTTCATCACTAGCTCCAGTTAAAAAGAAGAAATTTTAGGTAAAAATATATTAAATTAAAATTAGACCAAAAGGAATATTAAATTTTTAAATTTTATTATAAACATCATATTAATCTCAAAACAAACTCAAATAATTTAAAACCATCCATCATAATCAAAAATTCAAAACACCCAATTCTTTTCCATCAGCAAGCAATATTTAACAAAAAAAAAAAAAAACTAATTAAACCTTTTACTAACCTGCTGTAAGAACTCATCCAGATTCTGCTGCGAAGATCCTCCAACTTCCAAAGCCGCTTGACAAACCTCCTTAAACCTTGCAACCCTTTCCCTCATCCCCTTACTTTCTTCATCATCAAAATCCATCAATTTCTTCACCTTCTTCACAATCATCTCCCTCTTCACAGTCTCCTCATCATTCTCTTTAAGCCTCAAACCAATCTTCCAATCATCGACAACAATTTTACTATTCGGTTGCTGGTCCCAAAACAAAGGATAAGTGATCATTGGAACTCCGGCAAAAATGGCTTCCAGCGTTGAGTTCCACCCACAATGAGTCAGAAACCCACCAACTGAAGAATGACAGAGAACTCTGAGCTGATCACACCATGGAAGAATAAAGCCTGTATCTTCATCAACTTTATCCACACAGAAAAGTTTATCTCGCAAGACCCATAAGAACTTAACCTTGCTTTGAATGAGTCCCATGGCGATTTCTTCCATTTGATGGTCTGAGATGGAAAGAAAACTACCCAAGGAGACATAGAGAACTGAGGAATTAGGTTGTGAGTCAAGCCATGAAAAGTAAGGGGAGGAGTCAGGATTGGTTGGGTATTGTGAGGGATCAAAGGGCCAATTTGGTAGATTGGGATGGAGAATTCTGATCTGATTTTTTCCATGACTGAGATCTCCGAGCTTATCGAAGAGGTTGTGAGGAGGCTGTGGCTGGGTGGAACCAGTAGTAGTTGCTGGGAGAATGCTCTTAGAAGGTCGAATGGTGGTGCATTTGGGAGCAAGTTGGCTGATGTGGGTTGAGGAGACATTGGGAGGTAGGAGAGTGTCTCATCTCCTGCATATGAGAGGCTACTGAGTTGATAAATATTGTTTGTAAATCTCATGACTTATATATGTAAGTAATAGGCCGAAATTTGTGGCAACGAGATCCATTGAAAGCTCTTTGATGTTGGCTTGATGATTATTTGTTTTTTAACGTCATTTATTGACACCAAATACATAATAAGCTTTGTTTGATTGGGCCATGGGTTGAGACTCAGTGGTAAATTCGTTATTATCTATATATATATATATATATAATATATATATATTATATTATATATATATTATATATATATATAATAATATATACTATATAATATAATATGATATTTAATATATAATAGTTGCATACACACAAACATATTATAGGCAAAATGTATATTTAATAATTTAATAATAAACCTCAAAGTAATGTCACTAAGTTCTTTGAACCAACCTATACTTGACTTGCTAGGTTCATATCGCTAAAGCAGATTAAAAATATTAGCTTGTTGGTTGACAAGAGAGTTGAACAATATTTAGAGCATTGCTCAAATTTATTAACTCATGTACACCCTTGGTTCTAATATATGTGATGTATTTTTTTTCCAAGTAAGAACACAAGATAAGAAAATAGATTGATAATAATTGATAAAAAAAATATAATAACTTATAAATAACTAAAAAAATAATTATCATAGTCTCTAAAATTTTCTTATATTTAGTAGAAGCCTACAATTTTCTTGTTCTCCATAGAATATAGAACTTTCATGTAATTCATTGAAACTCTCATTTATTGCATCAATAACCCTCTATAATATCCAATAAATAGAGATCGACATTCTTCTACAATTTTATAATAAGCCAAAATTGAAATAAATACAAAAATCCCACTATTTTAAAATCCTTTATTTCTCCAACAAAGATTTTGTTTGGGACAAATTTCTTACTACTATAAAAGACAGTAAAAAAATTATCCCAAACAAAGCCAAGACAACCATTTCTTAGACTAAAATAACACTCAAACTCATTTTGTATAAAAAGATTAGATCACATTGTCCTGTATTATCAAATCCTCCATGACTGGTGATAAATACTTCCATATGAAAAACTTTATGAGATATTGTTACATATTTTCTATCGGACAAATTTTTAAAAGTGATACGCTATGAAGTTTAATAAGTGGAAAGATTACGTTGAATAGAAAATTAGCGGAGGCAAACTAGTCATTACCTTTGTTAACAACTTGCTTGTCACCCGTCATCCCCTGCACCGTGGCAGCACATCAAGCTGGTTGGGCGGCTGAGGTGGGCTAGCTGATCGAGTGGGTCAGACCTGCCAGTCATTCGGAAGCTAAACAACTGGCAAAATAGTGCGAAAGGGAACCGACTAGCGAAACTCGTGCAGAAGGGAGTTGACTGGCGACTCGTATATAAGGGGGTCGACTGGCGAGTTGTTTGGAAGAAAAATGACTGCCAGTCGTGCAGAAGGGCGACGACTGGCAAAATTGTGCGGAAGAGCAACAATTGGCGACTCATGCAAGGGCAATGACTAGCGAGCCGTTCGAACTGGTGAGAGGATACGTGAGGGCCGGCCCGAGGGTAAGGGTTGTGCCCGTGGCGTGATAAAATTGAACGGGTAATTGTTATCGTAACTTTCCCTTTCCATTTCCCTTTTCTCCCATGTGCAGTCCTCTCTTGTGCGCAATAGTTATATTCTACAATTTTTGCTTCTCCTCTCTTCTACCCACAGCAGCAACAATGAAGATCAGATCTGACATTGTCGGTTTGTTCTCATTATCATCTTTTAGTTTTTGTTACTTGATTTCTCTTATATGCTTGCTTCTTGTATGAATTGTTAAAAAAAATAAAAGTTGAGAAATTTTACTTCAGGATCATAGATACACCTACAATACCTCCCACTACTAGAGAACATTGAAATGTTCAGCACTTACTCGTTAGAGAGCACACTGTTGACCCGCCTGTACAGGGAGTTATCAGAGACTATAAAACCAAAAAGGGCGAAGATTGCTAGTTGCATTCATTCATTACAAATTCGGGCATGGGAGCATATACATGTGGGTCATCCTAGGCTGCACATTCCAATCCCAGAAACACTAGAAGGGGCTAACGTCAGGGTGAGGTCTGAAAACTTTAACCACCAAACCTTAACCATTTCAATTTAATTTATTGTTTAATGCAGTGAACTTACAAAATATGATCTCCTTCGAACAGATGGAATGAGAAATGGCCTAGGGAAAGATCATTAGGAGATGTGGGCACGAACTTGATGGTCTACTCCAAAATTAGATCTGAATAAAATAAATTATTTCAGATTTACTCATTTGTAGAAGGATATCCATAACAATTACTCCTACAGGTCTAGGAAGGTTGACCTTCCTATAATTAGAAGATTTCAATTCTATTATGTTCTGATCGTCTAACTTACTTAATCGTTTGATTGTCATAGCAGCGCTCGGTGGCGTTACTAGAGGTTTTCAAAAGGATTCTGAAGATCCTGATGATGATATTCTAGTAATTACCAAATGTTTGTCTTTTTGTAGATTCACAATTTCTCACAGGATGAATTGTTCTACACTTGTGCACGACCTTTCTTCCCATACCAAGAAGCACAGCAGAGAGAGGTTCACTACCATTGAGAAAGAGAAGAAAGCTATGGACGTGGGTTCGGGAAGTCAGCCCCAGGTAGCGAACACAGACCAGAAGCTTGACTTGACTGGCATGGATGAACAGCCACCACCGATACAGGTTCAGTTACAGGTGCACGCCAGTGGGAAGTTGGGATTGAGACGATAAAGGCCAAGCACGGAGGCCATATGAGAGTCATACAGAGATGCCATCTTTACTCATTTAGCATGCATATGCATGGAGGGTATACACATTTGGATAGCTCGGGCACCATTGATTTGTTGGAAAAGAGTAGAATGGCACCTTCCTGACATGGTGATTCGCCAATTCGGATACTTTCCCAAAATGGGTAGTGGTTGGTGTTTACTTCACTTGTGGATCATGGACCATCGCAACAATTTAACAGTCCTCCCATAGAAGATTTGGGTATCAGGACTGAGTATCAGCAATGGAGAATCACTGAGATTCATTGGGGTCCATCCGATGTAGGCAATTCATCACAAGTGTACCCCAACATCTATTCAATTGTTCACTCCGGCATATATCCCACCATATGCACATCTTAGTGTCCACCTCAGTGATTACCACAACAGTGTACCCCAACATCATGAACTTCGTCATAGGCCAGTTCGTTGTCCGGATCACTACACCCCAAGCACAGATGTGTTGCCCGATAGACATCGAAAGAAATGATATGTTCATCCTTTGAGAATTGTTCTATATTATATCCTAAATTGACCTTGCTTTTTTGTCTATAATACTTAACACGGCAAAGAACTCCCATATTTTCAATACTTTCTACATACTAGGATATTAATTTATTTAGGTTTATGATTTAAGTTTTTCAAACAAAATTTATGTTGACAAAATATGGTATAAAATTATAAATCAAATATGAAAACTATACTAATTTGTTGGCTATTTAATTAAAATTAGTAGAACTAAATATTCAAATATCAAATTAATTCAGTTTTCTTGTGTATTCAGTAATATCTTTTATCAAATTAAAATGAGAGGTTAATTTTTATATTGAATCAGCCAAAAAATTAAATTTAAAAAATGCAAAAAAAAAAAAAAAACTCCACCTGTAGGACTCCTACACCTAATTAAATTAATCACCGAATCGCTTTAAAAATTTGTCCTTTTCTATCCATAATATATTTTACATAAATTTTCAACATTCAAGTTGATCATCACAAGAAAAGAAACCAAAATGAGATATTTAACGCACTTAAAACATAAATTCCACAAATTACGCCGGCATGAATCAGAGAAAACAGAGCTAAAACTCCAAAAAATCAAACACCCGAAAAGCTAAGACAAAACAAAAAAAAATACCTGAGAAATCGTCCGGTAATCCGCCGGCGGCATCAAGTCGATCGAATTTATACAAAGCAAAGAAGAGGGAAGCCGATTCTGTCCACAAAGATACAGCGGGAACATTCCTCTGCTTACATATATCAACGATCCACGGTAAGAGCGCGTCCGCGACGACGATATCGGCCGGCGGGTTAAGCTCATTAAGAACTCGCTGAACTGGATCCGTCATTCTGGACATGACAGCTTCAAAGAACTCGGTGTAGTTATTGCCGCGCGTGCGTTCAGATGGAAGAACGTTGGGGATGGAGCGAACCTTGATGTTATCAGGTAGATTTGGAGATGAAGAGTCGGAGCTGATTAATTTAATCCATTCTTCTGTGAGGATGATGGTGATAGTGAGATCGATTTTAGGGCTTAGAAGGCGGCAGAGATTGATCATGGGGTTTATGTGGCCGCGGCCTGGGTAAGGGATGGACAATATGGCCTCGATCGGAGAAATGGTTTGCGGAGAAATAGGTGTTTTGGTGCTGGTCGCTCGGAATCCATCTCCGGTGTGATTTCTCTCTCTCTCTCTCTCTCTCGGGTTTGGAAGGTTGGAAGGAGGGAGTGAGATGGAGTGTTAAGGATGTCTATGCAAATTTTTTGTGAATTTAAATATTTAGCTCAGAATTTAAAAAATGAAGAACAAGATATTAAAATATTTTATTAATATTTAAAAAATAAATTATTATATATATATATATATATTATATATATATATTATATGTGTGGTGTAATTATCTTAATTTGGGATATTTAATTAGTTAATATCAAAATTGATAACATTAAAATATTTTACAAGTATTAAAATATAATTAGATATTAAAATGATATTTATTTTTAAATTAAAATAAATTAGTTGATAATATTATTAATTTCTTTTAATATTTTTAAATTTTTATTTACCTTTTCTATATTAAAATTCTCCAGATATCTTAATATTTTATTCCTCTTAATTGTTTTGCCCTTTTCCAATAGTAATTGTGGTAAAGGATCAGTAGTAATTGAGAATTATTTTAATTATAAAAAATTTTAAGTCTAGATATTATTATCGGGCTAATTATAATTACTATGTATTTAGAAAATTTACAATAATATAAAGCTTAAAAGAGTAAAAGTTATAACATCAGAATTTTTTAAGTTGAAAATTCAAAAAGAAAAAAATCTATTGTAAGTTTGTTTTAATTTTAGTAATCCACTATTTATAATTGTAAGTACAAGAAATCAATGTTCTTTATGATTGTAAGAACATGAGATTATTTGAGAAACATTTATAGAAATTATAATAATTCGAGGTATAAAAAAATTGCAGCGGTTAAGGTCCTTAACAAATATTTGTTAAATGTTGATAATTAAGTTATCGGTGATAGTGGTAGTGATGGCTAGTGATTGATCGTTAGCAGTGGATATCCGAAAAATGCAAGGAGAGTTCATTCATAGACTTCTCAACCACTGATTCTAATATTCCATAAATAAATCAAAACTCTGTCTTTTTTGCGAGCTTTTAGAATTTTCAGATTCAAATGATGACCAAAAATTCTTAGTTCGAGCTCCATCGTCACTCCAAATAATCCTTTTAACTACCATCATTAAAAGGTGCCCAACCAACTAAGTTGTTGCATTCGCCATAAGACTTCTATTGATATTTACATCATTTTTTATATCAAGTGAAATGTTTCAATGAATTTCAAAGACAAGAAGCTTAAAGTTCGTATTTCACTTGTAGCAGAAATAAAATTTATATTTTATGCCAGATTTTGATTTCACCACCAAAAAAAATACCTTAACCTTAACCTACCCTTATACATTTTGCGTGAAATCCTACCGTGATATATATTTATATATATTCACTTCTCTTTGGCTTAAAGAACCTTTCCCTCTCATCCTCTCTCCTCATTCATTATTTTATATATAAAAAAAAAAATCATATCCTAATATAACTCGATTTCATGACTAAGAGAGTTTTGTATATCTAATATTGCCTAGGGCTTGGTTCACTTAGGTTTCAATATGGTCTGAGTGAGCAGCTTAAAGGGATGAACTTCGACAGAGGATGAGCGTGGTCCAGTCAGGAACTATGAATGGACACATTAGGATCACCCATCCTTAGTCTTGAGGGATCACTTGCCCCAACTTTGAAGGGCAACTCGCCTAACAGTAGTGGAAGCAACTCTTTAATTTTCACAAGGGGAATTAAACTTTTATATATTGTTGGTTCTGCTATCAAAATTTGGCTTGGACCCTTTCACTGCAAAAAATGGGTCATAGCCGACAAAAAATGGCAAAATAAGGAAAATGGTTCGCTAAAAATTATCTTTTAGCTAACTTAACATAGTAACTAAGGCAAACTTAATTAATAAGGAAACTTGATATTAGTCTACCATAATGAAAAAATGGCTTTTTAATTTTATTAGAGAATTTTTTTTAGTAATAATACCATTTTTAAATGTATCAATATTTTATTTTATGATAACTATTCTTAAGGCAAATTTAGGTAGAAGTATGGTATTGATTTGTTTGAAAAAAATTCAAATGATCTTGTAATTGATTAATCATTCAATTTCTTATGAAATATTTATGTTGGATGGGTTAAACTTGAATTTGGTTTCAACCCCTATTTTTGCATATCATTTGATCTTTGTTATTACTTCAACATATGTCGGTGGTCCAAGCCACTCCCCCCCCCCCTTCCCTCTCTGGCAGCATTCAAGCAAATTTTGGTCTAAGGATATTTTTGGAAATTCAATCAATAAAAAATGATTAAATTCTCTTTTACTGTATTGGTTGGGGGAAATTTGAATTAAAGACATAATATTTTTTTTAAAACTTTTTAGGAGGAATGACGTCAATTTGCTATTAAAACACCCTTGTTAATATAAGAATAAACAAATAAATTAAATTGGACAATATTTACTTTTAAAGAATCATTATAATATTTTTTTAGTGAGGTGTCAATTGCACCCCACTTCACGTAGAGAATTAATTGGTATAGGTTTGCAGAGACCTGAACGTAGTGCTATGTCCGGACTCCAATTAAAACTAAACATGTGGATCTTCCACATGGATTCTTTTATATTACTTTTTCTTTATGTTTTGTCAGCCCTACTAACCCAACCGATACTAAAAATTTGAGTGCGAGAGTTCAAAAGATGCGAAATAGAGCTTTTTAGGTTTCACCCAGCATTTTTAACTTTTTACTCTCACCTCTCGTTCGGTTCTCCATAAGTTCTTCCAAACCTTTGGCATTTTCATTCTCTGAGACCAATCGGGGGTAGTAGAAGTTTGTTCCTCATATTTTCTTTCTAAGCAATATCAGAATTCCTAAGTATTTGGATTTGGGAGTTTTTGTGCTTTTTTTTTTCTTAAAATGGAGCGTAAATCCTAAAACCCTCTTAAAAAAAGTACAAAGCTGTAGATCGGGTCGGGTCAGTGTGGCTGAAAGAACGCAAATAAAGTAGGATAATCCAATTTCAAAAATACATAGTCCCATTTTAACTGTAGTCCAAATGCAGAGCTACACTCCATTGCAAATAATTTCTCCTGAGCTCAAGGGGGATCGGCACCTGTCACCTAATCAACAAATGTCACTTGCCCAAGCCTTCCAAGAGTCACAACTTGATTGGCTCTTCATTGCATAGGCTTGAGACCTCCCAAACACCTCACTCACTTGGGAGTAATTATTATGTCCGGTCACCGAATGCGTTTATAGACCAATAACCACGCGCCACGTCTCCTAAAACTCGGTATTGAGCACTCGGTATTGCTCGGTATACATTCAGATACGCTCGATTTTGATCGGACGTAATAATTGCTCCTCACTCGAAGAGCCCAATGTGTGCTTCACTGTGATCATTTTTCTGAGCTTGCCACTATATAATAAAAGGATAAACTTTCTCTTTTTCTATTATTGATCTTACGAGTGTTTCATGCCTCACCCTAGAGAGAGAGAGAGAGAGAGAGAGAGAGCTACTTTTTACTGTTCTAAAAGATCCCACTAATGTAGAGTAACAGTCGGATAAGAAGAAGAGGCAATAAAATTTTTCATTTGCTTTCAAAGCATCTCCACAAATGCATTTACATAACTTTCTTCTAAGGTATGGAATCTGATGCAGAAACAACTCAGCCACAAGAACTTATTCTATCGCCTTAACCAAAAGATTGATTTTTTTTTTCAAGGAAATAGATCATATAAAAGTTCCAAAAAAAAAAAGAAGATTAATTCTTATCAGCCTTCGCAAATATGCCATATACATCGAACAAATTCGTCCGTCAAAGAAGAACTTGAAGCCGTTCAGAAACAAAAGAAAAAAAACGAAATTAAATGAATTTAAGAAAGTGAAAAATCATGGAATATAGAACCAGAAAACATGCATGTCTAGTAATTTACAGCAAGATTTTTGTCGTCAATCCAAAGATAAAAAGAAAATATACATGAACGAAAGTCCAAAAACATTAAAAAAAATTATAAACATATATAATTGTCTCTGTTATTTTTGCTCATCAAACCAGTTTCTAAAATCCAAACCCACCATCATCGAATCCTGCGTCGTAGCCTGCGTCATAAGCCCCATCGTCTGAAATCATATCGCCTATCAGCATCCCTCCGAGCGCGCCGCCGAGCAATCCAGCGCCCAGCCCTAACCCCAAGTTATTCTTGTTTTTCCTAGGCGGAACCGCCCCGTAACCGTACCCAGCCGGCGGCGCACCGTAACCATAACCTTGAGGCGGCGGAGCACCGTAACCATATCCAGCCTGTGGTGGTGCACCATAACCGTAGCCGCCTTGCGGAGGCGGCGGGTACGCAGCATAATTTCCTTGCGGTTGATACGGAGGGTATCCACCCGCCGGCGGGTAGGAAGGCGGATAAGCCGATCCGCTGGCGCCGGCAGCGGGATAGGCCATCACTGGCTCGTTTTCCTTTGGGGGTTTCTGCGATGCTGGAGGCGGATAGACTGTAACCGGCTCGGCAGGCTTTGCAGCTGAAACCGGCGGCGGCGGCGGTAGCCCGCTGGATGCGGGGATATCAACGAATTTATAGGAGAGATTGAGGACGCCCTTTGCCTTACCGGATCCGGGCTTGCGTACCTGGTAGCTGACGAACTTGGATCCTTCCTTAATCCCGTCAAGAAGCTCTTTCAGCGGGATATGCACCTCGCCGACATCGCGATCTCCAAGGGCTCGCTGGGCTCGGAGAAGGACATGGATGACAAGGCGGTTAGCAACGGCAGGATCCGCGGGGACAGAGAACCTGAGAGTCGAATTCCACGAAGGATTCTTCCCGCCATCACGGTCAACCGGGGTTCGCTGCTGGGTGCGGTGGTCACCGGCGATGGTGGCGACCGCGTAAACATCCATCTTGGAGAAAACGTTGACGTCTCTGAGATCCTTGGCAGAAATAAGGGTTAGCTCGAGCGTACGGTACGCCATGGAAATGGGTTTCGAAGGATCGGAGATTGGAATGAGATATTGGAAGAGCTGATTCGATTATGGCTTTTTTTAAGGGCTTCGTTTGCGGTCAACTCGGTGGAAGCGAATGGTATACGGCGATCGTTTATATAGGAAATGGAATTGAAGTCTTCGTCGCGAAGTTCGTGACAAGTGGGAAATTTCGGGGAAATAATGTACGCCATGACCGAAAAAACGCGATTTTCTTTTAATTTCGGAACGGACGCGCGGCACGTTTAGGTTTTCTTCATTGATTACTTGTAGCCATATGAGTGCTCCACTCTTGGTGTTACAATGAATCTTTGGATTGGATTTAGATTCAACTCGAAACTAATTTATCTCTCCAACTGATCTTATCCGATTAGATAAATGACTAAAAAATTTGAACCCGAACTCAATCCGCCACTAACCCTGATTGACCCGACCCAACAAGCAGACCCAAGTGACAGCGCTGCGTGCCCGCTAGCTACTAGCGGGGCAAGGGCGCATGCGGAGCGGGCAAGTTCGTGTGCCGCGTGCAGTCACTGGAAAGCATGAGGACGATCATGGGTCTGTGACAGACTAACGAGACGAACATGTCACTATTGAGTTGATTTCAAGTTTTTGAATTAACTCGAACCAATTTTGAATTTACAATCGGGTCAGGATTTGAAATGTGAACCCATCTCATTATTCAAACGGGTTAAATTGAACCTAGAATTTTCGGGTCGTATTTTTATATCATGTTAAATATTGACACCCATACTCAAATCTATCAAATTCTTTTGGGGAGAGGTTTATCGAATTTCAATTTCTCTTGGATGAGTTAAATAAATTAATATTTGATGCTATTAAATAATTTAAAATTGAAAATAATCATATTCAGATATGTGACATTAATTTTTTTATACATCTCTAATTTAATGTATCATTTATTATTATGCTATTAAATAATTTAATAATTGAAAATAATCATATTCAGATATGTGACATTAATTTTTTTATACATATCTCTAATTTTATGTATCATTTATTATTTTTTAATATAATTAAATTAGTTGACA